TAAAATTCTATTAACTATGGAACTGCTTCGTAACTAACTCTCCATTCCCATGTGACTGAATTACGGTAAACTCATTCATGACCGTTGATTATTTCACAAGCTCCACTTGCATTGCTGTCAATCAAAGTTTTAAAAAGGCTGATAGCTTGTTGAGATCCAGTTCGTAATACGAGCTCCTTTTCGTACGAAAGCGAAAATTATGTAGGTATTGATTGGATCAACACTGTATAATTAATGCCTTAGGATCGGCCTTGATCCTATAGATCGTGGATCTGGCGTCTACTACTCCGTGCCTTATATGACATCCCTTACTTCCACCGTTTGGTTGCCTTTGTCAATTGGACTTTCAGCCCGCTATTGATGACGCCTCAATCCTGCATATCGTAATAGAGTGGGTTCAGTTGGTTCCCCAAGTGCAGCCCCTTTATGTAAGCCTAGTGCTAAGGTCAAGTCAAAGCAAGCAAGCAAGTGTCGGGTATGTCTCAACCAAAGACAAAAGATAAACTGGTACAAGGTTCAAACATTTGTCGATCTAAGGACCCAACGACATCTCGACTCTGAACCCCGAATAAAGAGACTGAGATGGCCTGGGGAAACAAATTCTGAGCCGACTGGACGCTGCCATCGGCAGTCCTTGAGCGCTAGGCGCCTGAACTCGCACAAGATTGGCTTTCAAGTAGAAGCATGGGTGGCACCGACCATGGGGTTGCTATTAGGCATAGGATCCATGTCCAAGACACGACATAGGACCAGCAGACGGTGAGCTTCTGCAACCCCCTTTAACACTGCAGCAGTACTATCTCACATAGAGATCAGTGAGCCACTCAGTCGTCATTTACTTGCAATCTTTAATTACAGCCTGCAGCTCCTTACTTCAAACTGACGCAACGCAACTTGCTTGTCTGGAGTTGGCTTTTCATCTGGTAATGCAGCCCTCGGCAACTCTCATCCGTACTTCCATTCGCGTTTTCGAGCGGAATCTATCAGTCCCATTTGCCTGTTCAATCCAAGGCCGGGTTTACACTCCACGTTGAGAAGCTCAGGGTCTCCGGTATAAAGCAGGGAAATGTCTAGTACATCGGCAAAGCTTATTGCTGAGCTTCAGTTGTTTGTCTCTTGTTAGCCCCTGAGTTGAGCCGCAAGCGTGACAAGATGGCAAATAGCTCTACGTACTTAACCTGAGACCATGCATGATAGGCGCTGGTGCACCACAACTATTTGGCCTTTGCTACTAGTTGCTACTGCAGCTCAAGCTGGCGTTTATTTGCCAAGTCATGGCAAGCTGAACAAAAAGAAAAGGTGCTGATTGGCATCAAGTTGTTGGCATACTGGTATGTGATAGCATGTCCTTATTTCGAAATAAGATGTTACTTGCATCCTGCCAACTTTTGCTTTTGTTTGATTCTGGAATTGGCTACCTTCCAATCGTCGTTTTATTTGCCCTCCATTCACTTTGCAAGGGGGCGAGATAACTTGAGAGCTAACACTGGGAAGCCCAACAATGGAGGGAGGACAGACAGAGTGTAGCACGGCAATTTGGCGAGAACTGTAACACGCCGATGAGATAAAGTAACACGGGAGTAGACGTTGAAGTTTGGAAAAGAGAAGCATTCCTCATCCAGAGGTTGCCATAGGGTCACGTGCTCTGTGCCACAACTCATTTACAGCCACAGCCACAGCCACAGATACTGCCTCCTCCAAAAGCGTTCTTCAGTCGCGGAATTGAGGTGCAGCTACGATTTGTTTTCGAATATATCATCAGCACCGTAAATTTGTAATCACTTACAACGTATCTCAACACAGACTAGCACACGCCAAACAGAAATATCCAAAATGCCCCCTGGTATGTTATTACTATTATTTCTGCCTGATTCACCTGCGCCGACACCTGTCGCACGCGCCGCACGATGAGCGCATCGCGATCGCGTCTCCGGTTCTATACACAATATAGCCTCTATTTCTAGCGCGATTGATATCCTGCCATTGCTGACTATCGCGCAGCTCTTAGTGATGAGGAATCCTCCGAAGTTGGGGAGTTCACTACGCCTCCTCGCGCGAGCAGCCGTAAGAAGTCAACGTCCGCCGCTGCGGCAGATCAGATCGACGATATGAAGCCCGAGCAGGCTTCCGACGACGAGGACGGCGACGGCGAAGAAGATGAAGACCTAGATGAGGATGAGTAAGACATCAGCGAACGTGTCGAAAGGGCCAAGCTCACATGCTACAGATTTGTTGTTGAAGCTATAAAAAAACACATGGTTTACGACGACGTAGGGAATAATAGCCCAACTCTATATCAGATAATAACCGTGGCCGCAGGGAAGTCTACAATTTCAAGTCAAGTGGGAAGGCTACGAGGCCAAAAAAGATTTGACGTGGGAACCTGAGGAGAATCTTAGGTAGGTGATAGAGGCGCATGACTTGCTCAAGGCCTTGTCTGACGTGTCATCTCCAGAGAGTCTGCCCAGGAGATCCTCGACGCCTACTTCGAAAAATATGGCGGCCGCGAGAAACTATTTGAAGAGCATGAGACAGCATCAAAAACGAAGAAGCGCCGCCGTGCCACCACCAATGGCACCCCTAGCACAACGTCGACAACCAAGCGACCGCGACGTGAGCACCCGGCTAATTCTGTAACTCCGGCGACAGCGAAGAATTGGAGCCCTCCAGCAGGGTCCTGGGAAGAGGAGATTGAGACGATTGATGCATGCGAGGATGAAGGCAGTGGCAAGTTGATCGTTTATCTTATTTGGAAGAACGGCCGCAAGACCAAGCACGACACCGACGTTATCTACAAGAAATGCCCACAAAAGGTCAGTGACTTGGGGATTTGGCAATGTCGCATTCACTGACGAGAAGTAACACAGATGCTCCGCTTCTACGAGCGCCATGTCAAGATCATTAGAGATGAGAACAAGGCTCTTGTTGATGGCGCAGAGACTTAGCAGGACTTGAACAAGGACGGGGGAATTGGAGGGAGAAGCAGCCATGTAAAGTATCCATTTTGTACTGATCCTCGATGTGGCTGTGGATGGAATGGCGTTACGGGCGATGGCCATTAAGTCGCGGAATGGGTTTCTGTTTTTCTATTTGACTTACATGCGTCTACACGCGGAATGGGAATCGAATGCTGGTATTCAGACAAGACTTCACATCATATCATGGAGAAACACGGCGCACGTAGCATGTGTATTTGAAGCCTGTAGTTTTATGAGGGAGCGTGTTGGCTACGCAATTGAGTCACAGTGAATTGATAGTGTATAAGCATTGTGCAAGCATTCATGTGAAGATGTCAGACTCGTGCCTTGCATTCCGTGGAAGTGCGGCACATCAGGCAGGGTCTTTTTAGGATCCTTGGCTTAGAGCCAGTCAAACGCGCCTTGACGCGACAACGGTCAATTAAAAAAAGACCTGAGGTGACGTTTTCTGCGAGGCTGGGAAAGCCCAAAGACGTTCCAGCGTGTCAGAGGCCCCTGAAGGTCTCCACAGCGGGACCATTGCAGCGAGCTTAGGTCTCCCCCTTCCCAGCCTTGCCATTTACTAGCGACTAGGTACCTGTGGGCTGTAAGAAAAAGACGGTGGCGGGGCAACGACTTATAATAGAGTGAGTGGTCGTTGGTGAAGTGAGACTACGCATTCCAGTTCCTGATCTTGTTTATCTCTTTTCTAAGGAACGAATCTTACGACCTATTTTCTTGAATAAAGAATTGAGAGATTTTTGGACATTTACGACTGTAACGACTCTCCATTGTACGACTTTGTGTGATTGATTGGTTCATCTGGTTGCACTACGTTGACTCTCCTCCAACCTCTTGACTCGGACTTGAACTCAACTCTACTCTCTCTACTCTACCACAACAGAATTCTTGACTGGGTATGTCTACCCCATGAGCCTCAGCAGTCTAGTCTAATTGGACCCTTGAACTAACTGTCTCAGATTGAAACATCTCCCTTGAGTCCATTGTTCGCAACAAAGACAATCTCAACGTATTGCAACACTACGACCCAAAGTCTCACCATACACAACATCAACGTCTCCCACCAATCGATCCGCTTTCAACCGCCATCATGAAAAAGAACGATGTTATCGCCATCATTATCATCATTCTCTTCATCATCTTGGCAGGCGTATCATTCGGTATTTGGAAACTCGTCTCTATGGCCAAGAATCATATGAGCGTGACAGGCAGCGGCACATCAAGCAGCCACTCCAGCCGCGACATTGCCGACTAATTCATTCACCTCTCAAGCTTTCAAGCTTCTGATACCCAGTGGTGGTTCTTTTCCTTGTTTATACTTTTGAGCACAGCGGTTTCGTGGTTATTTACTGCCACTTGTTTTGGATACAACATAAAATCATGGTGGAATGTGGGCGGGTTGGTAATATCTGGATGGTTGATTTATGAATCACTCATGTTCGGGTTAAGGCGCAATATCATGGCGACATTGAATGGGCTATGTGTTTTTGGAATATGTTTATGACCCTTTGGCATATGGGCAATGCATTTTGTACGGAAGATAGACTACATTTTATGATTAGGAGGCCTAGTTATGGCATGTGAATGAAACAATACATGTATGTATCACTTACACACAAAAATGATCGGTTGTGCCGTTGCTCAGGGCCTTCAGTCGTTAAACCACTCTGCTCGTCAACGCAAGACATTGCTCTTTGAATCATTGCCAACTAGTGCTGATTGACAACATTTTGCAGTTATTCAGACCTGGCTTGCCGTGATAGCAATGACACATAACTCTAAGTGTGTATTTAAAGAGAGGCTCACAACACCCCAAAGTCCTCCCTTCTTGACTACACAGTCTCGCCAATTCTTCAGATATATTGAACACGTCCTTAAGAAACAATCCTATTCAAATCACTACAATGGTAAATTCCAGTTTCCTGATGCCGGATCTTATTGAGAAGGCCTCCAAGTTGAGTATAGACGATCTTGACACAAACAAGAGTGTTAGCAGCATCTCACGTTACCAGGAATTCCCCTATGCTCACTTTTACGACGACCCCTTCGGGCGCAGGGATTGCCCGGACAAGACAAGCCCTGAGTATCATGAGCGTGTCAGGAAAGCCCTCGGCCCTCGAGGGAAAGTACCTCGAGGTTTATCAAGACTACCAGGCCTGGAAGAACGAAGTCATTCTTATGATTGAAAGAGACGACCAGCATAGCTGGAGCAATTTCATACTGGACCCTCACGACCGCATGGAATTTGGCGAAGGGATATTAGACAACATCGAGGCTTTCGTTCCCTTTTCCAACAAGTTATACCCGTTTCCGAGCTACAAGAGCCAAGATACCTTGAATGATAAACTCTTCAAGAAGCGGATGCGATTGGCCGAAGTAAAGGGACTCATCGAGACCGGACGCCGTGAGCTGGCCCGGCTGGAGGGATCCGACTCGTTCATCCAACTTCGTAAAGAGTTCGTCGAGTATCACGAAGAAGTGGCAGCCAGCTGCCATTTTTGTGATGTCAGTGATAACTCGAGTAGTTCCGCGTCCACTGGTTCAGGAGGAACAAGCCGAACTATTGAAGATTAAGAAAAGACTTTCTGGAGGGGTGAGGAGAATGAGTTCAGACTCCAGGATATCCAGGGGGGAAGTTTTGATTCTCATGCTATTCGACTCAGGCTAGGTGGTCTCCAGACAGATTAGCAGAGAATTGATTATCAGCTTCGGGAGAGTTCATGCATGTGTCAAATTCAGCGAATAAACCAAAACTATATGCATGTTGCTACAAATCTCTGTAATGGATGCAAATTGATTTCTACTTACGATATTCAAATACTCTCGACATCAAATCTTCCACGGATAAACTGTTCGAACGTCAGAATATGTGTCTTTTAAATTGTCACTGCTCAAAGGGCGTCTCAAGCCTCGCTTGTTCGATGCAGCTTACCCTGTCGAGGAGACTCTTATTTCTGATTGGCCTAGGTGTTGTAAGTTCGCTCAATGAGGCAACTCTCCTTTTTCATAACCAAAATGAAGTCTTTCGTATATCACTGAAGGCTCATTCGAAATACCATATATTTATGTGTTTCTGATCGCTTCATTTTAGGTCCAGGGCACGAAAGTTACATGCACAACGGCACATAATGAAAACAACTGGTGGATCGCCTCCAGCCCGACTTGCGGCATTCTATTCATCTGTGAGAAATCTAGCCTAGGCCTCTTACTCCTTCATTTATGTACTATCATATATGTGTATCTGAAAAACTTTATTCGAGAAGTTGTCATTGTGACCCTTACTTGCGGGCAATGGGAGTAGGAGTTGGGGCCACGACGGGCTCAGTAGGGGCAGCGGGAGGAGGCTGAGGGACAGCAGGAGGAGTGGAAGCAGAAGGAAGAGGGACAGGGACCATGGGAGGAGGAGTAGGTGTAGGTCCGGGAGTAGGGACTGTGAAGAGTCAGTTTAGTTCGAGTTGACACATAATATAGAATCACTCACCACCAGGCTGCTGGCCGTTGCCAGGCACGGGCAACCAACTACCGGGTCCTCCATTCTGACCACCACCATAGTGACCGTGGTTTCCAGGCTGAGTGCCATTCATCGAATGATGAGGGGGGAAGAACCCTCCAGGGGCAGCCTCTATATGAATATCAGTATGCCGGTCACACAATATGAGCAAGAGGTATACTCACGAGGGAAAGGGAGAGCCACGGAAAGGGGAGCCACTGCGGCAATGGCAAGAGCGATGAAACCAGTCTTCATTTTAGCGGTTTGTTAAAGGTAGTGACAGAAAAAGTTGCTTGATCTGAGGACGAGAAAGAATGGTAACGACTTGAAGTCTTTATAACGAACGAGGCCAGCTCAAACAACAAGGATATAAGATAAAAATAACTTAGTAGGTCACAGATCAAGACGATGTTGTCAAGAATAGAGAAGAAATGATGGGCTGGAATGCTCAAGAGCCTGTTTTTGACGAGATTGTAGGCCATGTTATATATCTGTTGTTACAGCGGACCACTTTCCCCCTTGGTAGCTCTGCACATCTTTACCGTGATGGAGGAATATACCGAGAGACCCTTGAGTGATCAGCCGTGAGTTACATAAGTTCGATCATGGAAGGTGAGAAAATGAGAGGCTAGGATGGTGCGTATGAGTTGACTGACTCTCCACAGTGTCGGTAGCCTTGGGCGAACCGGTGTGGCCAATGGAGGGCCGGTAGTTGGGGATGGTCTGTATCGTCTTGATGAAGCTTACAAGGGTGGGTACGGGAGGGTAAAAGCTTGTCTCGTCTTGGATGTTTCTCTGCTGAATGCTTGGATGGTATTGATACAGAGCAAACTGTGGCATTTTATGTGAGGATAGTACCTAAGATTTTATGCTTAACAACTCTAATTATTCTTTAATTATCTGTATCTATACTAATATCATCTTTATTTATTCAGATAACTTATAACCTTGCCTGCAATACTCTTGATTCATGATCTACACTGTCACAGTATGACATCTTTACAAAAACAAGAGTTACAGTGTCCGTCTCCATAAATGAACCCACAGCCTTCTAACAAACGACGCGTAACGCAAGGAAACAATGTGAAAACCCATCTCCACCAGTGAATGCCCCACGGAGAATTCACCTCCAGTAAAACACATGCCCCGCAGCCTATTCCCTGACAGCCAGCACCGTTTGTTTCAAGTCTCAACTCTCCCTATTTTCTCCACCACCAATCATTGTCTAAATAACAGTACGTGCCATAACTGAGGCTCTTTTGTTCTGCAGGTACGTCTGTTGCAGCGCAGATCTCTTCTCCAACGAGGTTCTCTATGCGATTGTATCGAGGAGGTTGACGACGCGGCCTGCAGAGCTTGAGGGCTGGGGTCGAGATCCAGTGGAATTGACTCCCGAAGGATGAGATAAAATTTTGGGATTTGTGAGAGTGTATCTTTGACTTTATTTTTACGGTCTCATCGTTCGTGTTGACGAAATCTCTACTACGGTAGATGTGCAGTGCAACGGTACTCGATTGTAGCCTCAATATCTCTAATCCTTCAGAAACCAGTCGTCCTCGCTGTCTATGTCGTATGCTCTATACATATCATCTGAGCAGTTTATCGCCATGTAACAAAAGTTTAGCATCGCTGCTTGACGAAACTCCCATCATGTTGAACCGTGGGTATTTTCTTCCTCAATCAACCTTTCCGTCCGGAACAGTCCATCTCTTATCAGTTCGCCTCTCACCAACTCATGACGCCTCGACCACGATCAAATCCACCTCGTAGCTGACGCTCAGGCTTGACCACTTTGCCTCTCAAGACTGTATATCGGATCAAGTTCTCGCAATCTTCAGGCATGACGCGTGCCAGCCAGATACCCTGCGATGCGCCCACACTCTCCTCTGCTGAACCGTTGGTACCATTGCCATTCTTCTCAACGCCATTTGTGCCGTTTTGCAGCTCAGGAACCGGATCATCCAGACCAAATGCATTCGGCCGTCGGTAGATCATGACGTTGGCGGAGTACTTGTGTCCTCCCACATGGCTGATGTAGTAGATACCAACACCGCCAGGCCTCTCATCATGCAAGTCTCGATACAGACCCAACGGCCTAAGCTGGCGCTCAAACTCTTTCCTCAGAATCGGCGCACTCTGTGCACAACGCACATCGCGTGTTCGATGACTGCACATGAGGATTACAGCGTTGTGAGGGCAGTCCTTCAGAGAGACATCCGGGATCCCGGCGGCCGGGTCGGGAGACGGAAGAGAGGCCGGTAGCGGCGTAGGGTGAAGGGGAGAAGTGCTAGTCGGGGCCCGGTTGATAACTTCGGTAACAATCTTAGGTACACTGAGAGGGTGAACATTGTGAAGAAGCTTGAAGGCTGGCAGCAGTAAAAGAGTTGTAGGCTCAGAGTAGTCATCTGTGTCATGAGGAGTCGGCATATTGGATGCCGAAAGCTTGAGTTTCTGTGCTTGTTAGCGCCGCAATTATCAAATTCGATGAGTGGTGATATGAGGCAAAATACCCTCGTCTCATACACCAACTCATATGAGATAAACACTCACCCCATTCGCAGGCTCGGCAGCCTTAGAAAAAGCCTCCATTACACTCCCCTTCTCGTCCGCCACATCCCTCACCCAGTCCGTCTTGCCTGTTCCAACAAGGAGATGCGTACTCCAAGGCTCGACAAGTCCATAGAGCACATCCTCCTCCTCAATCTTGAAGCCTCGAGGATACCTCACGGAGCAATTTTCACAGTCGTGCAGACATTCCTCGCCGTCTACTTTTGGGTCCGTCTTGGCAAAAAGCTCCGAAGATGAGGGCTTAGTATCCTGTTTTGCAGATCCTCCACCGAGCACGGAGCCCATGAGGTTCTTTAGTGAGAGGGCCATTCTTTGCTTCGCGGGCTTGTGCTGCGGAAGCCAGGACGGCGTAGCGGCTGTTATGGAGGTTGAAGGTGAGGTAAAGGGAGGGGGGTTGTCGTGTGTGGATGAGGATGATAGGGTCATGTTGTAATAGGAGATCTTTCGGTAGGTAGGTTTTAGGGCCGTTGACGTCTCCAGATGCCGTAGGTTCGGTTCGGATTGGCACTGATCCACTTGAATAATTAATTGGTAATGGATATACCAGCAAGCTTTTGGGGATGTTACTGATTGATAATCAGATGATCGATCAGATAATTAGTTACACGCTGCTACTGTAATGGAGGATGATTCAAATGATGAGATCGTTTCTTCTTCTCTGCATTACCAATATCGAGTCTCCTATGGCTTCATATAACCCAAACACTTCGCTTTATTCCTTCGCTCTTTTGCCTCCCCCGTCTATCTCCGATCACCGAGCCTGACCTGACAGCCTGGTAGGTAGGTGCTGTAACATCGGCACGCCATTAAATTGCATCCGCTCCCACAAAAAAGTTATCAGATCCTGTCATTTTCCCCGGTCTCCAATTTCAGCCCCGGACTAACCCCAGCATTATTATTAATTACAACATTTGTGCAAACGAAGAAAACACTTCTTTAGACTGGCTCGTAGCCCCAGGTTTCTCTCAATTCTCTGCATAAGAATAATTAAGGTTTTGATTAAACTCCTCAAGATTGAGATGTAACGGTCGTGTCAAGATCCTCAAGATCCTCAGGATCCAAAAACTACTCACTCCGTCAATAATCTTTGTCCTCGTGTCATTTAGTCCACTCATGTTCCTCAAAAATCATCAAAAGAAACATGCTATACGGTAGCCGATTCAAATAATACAAAATGTTTAGCTATACTCCGCAGCTGCTTGAGGCATTCCTATCCCTCGTTGGCGCTTCTGCCTGTCATCTGCTCTCCAATGCTTACGCGTTCTTCTTTCTAGCCTCATCATAACCCTCCTCTTCACTGTCGTCATCCTCGTCGTCACGATCCGTCCTTTCTTGATCTGTCTTATGTCGCCTATTCTTCATAGCCTCTCGAATCTTGCGACTCGCCTCATCAAATCCACCTGAGGAGTCCAACGTGGTGAACCCACTGATAGGGAATCCACCAGATCCGAACCCACCCCCGCTGCTGCTTGACCTTGACCTGCTACGGGCTCTGGAAGGCGGCCGTGTAGAGAAG